CATTGTCTCAGCCCAAAAACTCCTTAAGCTGATAAGCAAACTTCAGCAAAGTCTCAAGGATACAAAAACTGTGCAAAAATCACAAATTCCTATACACCAACAATAGACAAGCAGAGAGCCAAATCATGAGTGAACTCCCATTCACATGTGCTACAAAGAGAGTAAAATACCTAGGAATACAACTTACAAGGGAAGTGAAGGACCTCTTCAAGGAGATCTATAAACCACTGTTCAAGGAAATAAGAGAGGACACCAACAAATGGTAAAATATTCCATCCTGGTGGATCAGAGGAATCAATATCATGAAAATGGCCATATTGCCAAAGTACTTTATAGATTCAATCCTGTCAAACTACCATTGATATTCTTCACAGAATTAGAAAAAAACTACTTTAAAATTTATATGGAACAAAAAAAGAGCCCACATAGCCAAGACAATCCTAAGCAAAAAGAACAAAGCTGGAGGCATCATGCTACCTGACTTCAAGCTATACTACAAGGCTACAGTAACCAAAACAGCATGGTACTGATGCCAAAACAGACATATAGACCAATGGGAGAGAATAGAGATCTCAGAAATAAGACGACACATCTACAACCATCTGATCTTCAACAAACCTGACAAAAACAACCAATGTGGAAAGTATTTGCTATTTATAAATGGTGCTGGGAAAATTGGCTAGCCATATGCAGAAAACTGAAAATGGACCCCTTCCTTAGATCTTATACAAATCTTATACAGATCTTATACAAAAATAAACTCAAGACAGATTAAAGATTACATTTAGGCAATTACATTTAGGACATAGGCATGGGCAAAGATTTTATGATGAAATCACCAAAATCAATGGCAACAAAAGGCAAAATTGACAAATGGGATCTAATTAAACTAAAAAGCTTCTGCACAGCAAAAGAAATTATCATCAGGGTGAATAAGAAACCTACAGAATGGGAGAAAACTTTTGTAATTGTATTAGTCATGGTTCGCCAGAGGATCAGAACTAATGGAATAGTTACATATATAAAGGGGAGTTTATTAAGTATTATCTTACACGATCACAAGGTCCCACAATATGCCATCTGCAAGTTGAGGAGCAAGGAGAGTCAGTCCAAGTTCCAAAACGGAAGAACTTGGAGCCCAATGTTCGAGGTCAAGAAGCATCCAGCACACAAGAAAGATGTAAGCTGGGAGAGTAGACCAGTCTCTCTTTTCACATTTTTCTGCCTGTTTATATTCTAGCCACACTGGCAGCTGATTAGATTGTACCCACACAGATTAAGGGTGGGTTAGCCTTTCCCAGCCCACTGACTCAATGTTAATCTCCTTTGGCAACACCCTCACAGACACACCCAGAATCAATACTTTGTATCTTTCAATCCAATCAACTGACACTCAGTATTAGCCATCACAGCAATCTACCTATCTGACAAGTTCTAATATCCAGAATTTACAAGGAACTTAAAACAAATTTACGAGAAAAAAAACAAACAACCCCATCAAAAAGTGGGCAAAGGATATGAATAGACACTTCTCAAAAGAAGAAATTTATGTGGCCAACAAACATATGAAAAAAATTCAACATCACTAATGATCAGAGCAATGCAAATCAAAGCCACAGTGAGATGCCATCTTATGCCAGTGAGAATGTCTATTATTAAAAAGTCAAGAAACAACAGATGCTGGCGAAGCTGTGGAGGAATAGGAACGCTTTTACATTGTTGATTGGAATGTAAATGAGTTCAACCATTGTGGAAGACAGTGTGGCAATTCCTCAAGGATCTAGAACCAGAAATACCATTTGACCCAGCAATCCCATTACTGGGTATATACCCAAAGGAATATAAATTATCCTGCTATAAAGATACATGCACATGTATGTTTATTGCAGCACTATTCACAATAGCAAAGACACGAAACCAACCCAAATACCCATCAATGATAGACTGGGTAAAGAAAATATGGTACATATACACCACTGAATACTATACAGCCATAAAAAGGAATGAGATCATGTCCTTTGCAGGAACATGGGTGATGCTGGAAGCTATCATCCTCAGCAGACTAACACAGGAAAAGAAAACCAAACACTGCATGTTCCTACTCATAAGTGGGAGCCGAACCAAAAGAACACATGGACAAAGGAAGGGGAACAACACACACTGGGACCTATAGACGGGGGGTTGAGGTGGGAGGTGGGCACGTGGGGAAAGAAAGCATCAGGACAGATAGTTAATGCCTGTGGGGCTTAAAACCTAGGTGATGGGTGGATAGGAGCAGCAAACCATCATGGCACATGTATACCTAGGTAACAAATCTGCACGTTCTGCACATGTATCCCAGAACTTAAAAAAAGAAAAAAAAAAAATGGAATGGAATACGCCAGTTAATCAATTCAATAGAAGTGTCCGTTGTACCTGAAAAAAAAGAAAAGAAAAAACAAATCTGTGCTCGACCACACATCTATCACACTGTTACTCGTTTTGACTACATATTCTTCGATCACTTCTTCATATGACAATTTTGTAATATTTTCTATAAAGAAAATAGAAAAATAAATGTTTTCTCAGCATAATTGATGCTTTTTATTATTGGTAGATTAGAAATGTATCTTTCGGTTAGTTATATAATTTATTCATAATGTTATTGCTTTTTTAGGATGGTTATCAAATACATGAAAACCTCTATCAAATTTCTTTTATATGTAAGTTTAAAAATTTGAAAGAATTTTCATCAGATCCATTTGTGTTTTGATATCTTTTAAATTTGCATCTTCTCTGCCACCCACATAGTGCCAGTACCACAAGACATTTTCACATGCTAGTTCAACCTCTGACAGTCTGCCATTTTTGTGTCACGACTTTTAGTGATTGAACAGATCACATGGCAAGAGTGTTCATGGAAACACTTTTTATGCCAGGATGCTTTACAGTAACATAACTATTCATGGATGGAACAGTTAATCACATAAATGTATCCCACTGAAAGCAAAGTAAATTATCTTAGCTTGCCTCAGCCATTTGGAGTAGCAGGAGTAGATATTAGGAAGGACTAAAGATTTATCGTGTAAGTATGTCTCAGGTGAGATCTTTGCAGTACTGGTAAACATGATTCTGACAGCAAGAATGAGGGTGCTTCTCATTTGGGCTCATAGGTTTCTGGGCAATCTGAGATTTCAAGACTCTCCAGCTTGTCCATCTAAACGTCTCCATCTCAGGACCAAGAGTCTTGTTCTTTTCCTTGCAAGAGATGTCTTTTATATACGTGACTTTTGAGATCAGGCACTGATTCTTCTTTGCAGCTTCTCCACCCATCTAATTAAATCACAGGCATGCAGACTTTTTGGCACAATCTGCCACATAGTGGTAGGAGATGAGGGTTTTCCTTACCATAGAAGGCCTCTGGTTTTAAGGTATATCTTGAGTTAAAAATTTACTAAACTGAGTTTATTATTTTCATTTTTCAAGTCTTCCAAACTAGAAAATAAAAATCAGCAACTCCATAATTTTATAATTAGTGTCAGCTCCATTTCACCCAAGTGCCACAGCTCCAGTGCAATTCCATGCTTTTCCTTCCACCAGGATCTCAGTGCAGCCCAACTCAGGTGAGATTCTTTGTCACTCTGATGCTACTGTGGGCTAGGAATGATGTCTGTCTACCTCAGTCATCATCAGCAATTTGTCCTTATTACCATTTCCAAAATCCTATCCTGATAGCTTTCTGAAGTTGCTCTTGGTATCTCTATTTTAATCTGGGTTTCCCTGAAAGCATAGCTTGATATGCAGATATTTTAATAGAAAAATAATCACAGAAGGCAAGAGTGAGAGAAAGGGAGAGTAAAAAAGAAAAGAACAGTGAGCAAATTGTATTGAATACCACTACAAGTGACTAGTGCTAATACCAATTAGACCCCTTGGGGAGTATAATGAAATGAGTCTCTGAACTGTCCTCTTTAGAGGAGAAAGGGTAACACACCTTTTGGATTCCATCTTCCATTGGTCAAGGATGACTTTTGGGTGTTAACACTTCATTGCACATGCCTGAGTGTTAGATGAATTCCCACAGGTATCCCTCATCACTCTGTTGAAGAAGCCCTGGGGCAGAAAGCAATAAGTAGATACATCGTGTAGGCCCAAGAGAAGTTTTGTCAGGTTACACCTGCGCAAGATGCATCCAAGCATGTGCAGAACTGGTTAGGGAAGCAATGGCTGGAGAAAAAGGAGGCTTGAGAGGATTTGAAGAATATGCAAACCCATTTTATTTTGTGAGATAAAATACTTATCCTGGAGTTAAAAGGATTACCAATTTTCAAATATGAAAAGGCATGTAATATGCAAGTATGTTTATATTTAAATATATGTCATATTTAAAAATACCTTTTATCTGTACAGAGTAGTATTACAGAAATAAGGTGTTCTTCCCCATCTCTCTGATATACTTCTGAATTATTGCTTCTAGTCACAGGTGAGAAAGTAAGGCCTTCACCGAGTGGGTCTACCTGACTCGGTATCATCTAAAATAAATAAGAAACAAGCAATATGTTTCAAGGAAAAAAAAAATGGAATCTAGTTGGCTGTTCCCATGTCTATATTTCTATGGGTCTTCTTACAGCAGTATTTTCTTGTAAATTTCCAGTTATCTAAACCATGCTAGATTGAAATATTCATACAATAACTCTAAGCACTTCTCTTTGTGTGTCTTTTCTAAATCTTCTAAATTTAAAATAAAAGAAAATATAATCATCCCCACTGAGTTAGATTTTTCTTAGACCTAAATGGACAATAAATTCCTAGTTGGAGAACATGATTTCCCGCCCTTGACTTCCTTCTCAGCTGTTATAATCATTTGTAAAACAGATTAAGAAATGCCTTTGACATTCTCCTGTGGCTTTGAAATTGCTATGTAGCTATTCACCCTCTGCACAGAAATTGAATGAATGAATTGCTAGCATTTGAGAAAAGAAGAAATCCCCATATGGAAAAAAACAACTGGAAAATAGTTGAAAAGAACTGCAGACTGTAATCTAGTTAGTAAATAATAATGCAAACCGTGGTGCAATGTAACTGAAAAAAAGAACAAATAGGTTGGCCTGATGAGATTTCATAAAATTTTTGGCATTGAACAGCTGGGAAAATTTCCTTGCCTATTCACATGAGCTAAAACATTTCTTATGAAGAAAAGGGTAGAGAAAATGGAAACTTTCTGCAAAGAGTTCTAATGGGTTTATTTGTTATGCAATTTTTTGCTTTGCCCATTGTAAAAGCACAATTTTAGGACACCAGGGTATTGGGTACATTACTTAATTTACCTTAGCACATTTTTATGTGCAAAGTAGGAAACTGAGCAGTTCTTAAAAACCGTATGTATTTCTCTCAACTTATTTAGGAATTAATGTAAGTTGATACATTTCTTCTTTTAAAAAAAAATCTTCATTGCACAATACATGTTAATTTGAAAAATTGAGGAAAACAAATGAGAAAAACGTTCAGTTTGCCTATAACCTTAACACCTAGAGAGAACAATCCAACATTTTTATAATCTCCAAATGAAGAAACGTGCACACACACACCCACACACACATAAAATCCCAAAATAGATCATATTGTAGCTACTGTTCTATACATTACTTATTTGCTTCCGAAATCCTTTAGCATCAGCAAATGCTATACATTTTATATATCTTTGTATATGTATATACAGTATACATTGTCATATATTCATATGTATGCATATGTACATGTACATGTGCCTATATACTCTGTGTTTGAATTTATAAGTAAAATCCAGGGATCTACGCTAACATTTCTGAGAAAATAATGACCTTACTGGGTTTTGTTTTTCTTTTTTGGCTCTTTTGTTTTGTTTTGCTTTGTTCCTTTGAGATAGTCTTGCTCTGTCGCCCAGGCTTGAGTACAGTGGCACAATCAAAGCTCACATTAGCCTCAGCCTCCTTAGCTCAAGTGATCCTTCCACCTCAGCCTCCTGAGTAGCTGGAAGTACAACTGCTGGAAGCACCACACCTGGCTTTTTTTTTTTTTTTTTTTTTTACGACTGCTCTGCTTTCCAATTCACTATCTTCTGTCTACCTGCCCCATTTCTTTGTTTCTTTTTTTTTTTTCTGTAGAGACTGGGTCTTACTATGTTGCTGCCCAGGGTGGTCTCAAACTCCTGGACTCAAGTGATCTTCTCACCTTGGCCTCCGAAATTGCTGAGATTATGGGCATCAGTCACCACACCCAGCCTTGTGACCTTGCTTTTGAAGCAAAAATGTTTCAGTCTCATTTGCAAGCTTCCCTATAGGGCACTATTGACCCTGAACATGGACTCTGAGCAAAGTAGCATGTGTCAATCCTGAGCAAAGGCAATGAAAAGACTATATATGATTCTTCAGTCTCTTCTCATGCCATAATAACTGAGGAGGCTGCATGTTCACAGCTCAGCTATGAGCAGATGCAGCTTCTTCCATCCTAGGTACTTTATCTATGGATAACACCCATGTTTACCTGCAGAGATGTATTCTGTGGGGGAAAAAACTGACTTTGTTTTGCTAAGCTCCTGACATTCAAATATTGCTTAATACTGCAGCACAAACTAATATATCTTGACAGATACAACAACCATCCTTAAACCATATCTTTTCTACATTTCAATTTTAATATACTCTTGATGGACTGGATATTATCATCTTTTTTTTTCAAGAGAGCCTCATGGTAATTTTATTCCCTGACCTCAGCCATCCTTGGGAATATCTTTCTGTTGCCTTTATAAATTTAACTGAGTACAAATTTACTGGGTCATGGTTTTTCTCATAATTTTTAGACATTGATATCTGTCTTCTGTTAGAAAGTATAGCTGTGGAGAAGTCTGAGAGCAACCTACATTTCTTCCATGTGTGCTATGGTTTGAATGTTTGTCCCCTACAAAACTCATGTGGAAATGTAATTGCCATTGCAACAGTACTTAGAAGTGGAACCTTTAGGAGATGATTAGGCCATGAGGGCTCTGCCTGGATTATTCCATTATTGTGGGAGTGGGTCCATTGTCATGAAACTGGGTTCACCCCCTCTTGCTCTTTCCTTGCTCTTCTGTCATGTGATGCCTTCCGCCATATGATGATGCAGCAAGAAGGCCCATGCAAGATGCCAGCACCTGATCTTGGACTTCCCAGTCTCCCAAACTATAAGAAAATAAATGTGTTTTCCTTATAAATTACCCCATTTAAGGTATTCTGTAATAGCAGTACTAAACAGATTAAGACAGAAATGAATGCTAGAGAAGTGGGATATGGCCATAACATATACATAAAAATACGGAAGCAGCTTTGGAACTAGGTAAAGCATAGAGGCTAGAAGAATTTGGAGGAGCAAGACATTGATATCTGTCTTCTGGTAGAAAGCGTGGCTGTGGAGAAGTCTGAGGGCAGCCTCAAAAGCCTAGATTGCCATTAATGGAGCTTTAAGAGTCATTCTGGTCAGGGTTCAGGAGAAGGGGAGAGATATAGGGAAAGTCTGAAACTAGCCAAGTGACACCTTGATAAACAGATTAGTATAGACAGAAGATAAGCCAGGTGCCATTCATAAAGACAAGAGGAGAAAGATCCCAAAGGCATTTCAGATATGTTTGAAGCTGCCTTCCCATCACAGGACCAGAATGCTGGGACACTGAGGGCAGAAAGGTTTCCAGAGGAGGGCTAAGGGTGTCTGTGGGACCACAGCATTCTCCGCCCTGTGATGACCCAAGTCTCTATTCCTTGTGTTCTGAAACAGTAACCCTTGGCCTTCCCAGCTGTGGCTCAAGCAAGTCCAAATGCAGTTCTGGCCTTTGTTCCAGGAGGTGCAAGCCATAAACCTTGGCAGTGTCCATGTGGCACTACTAAATCTGTAGGCACAGGGTGTGTGAAAGCTATGGTGGCATGGTTGCCTCCACTTAGATTTTAAAAGCTGCAACAGAGACTTGCCAGTGGGGTGCAGCTGCTGCAGAGAGTATCCACTAGGGCCTAGCAGGGCCTGTGGGAGTTGAGCCACTACTGAGATCCTAGAACTGTAGCAACATCAGCATACAATGCCAGTCTGGGAGAGTTGCAGGCAAGAGAGACTCCAACCTGTGAGAGTTGCTGCATGGGCTGAGCCCAGAAAAGTCACAGAGGTGGAGCTACCTGAGGACATAGGGGCCCAACCCTTGCCCCAGTGTGCCCAGGCAGGACATAGAGTCACAGGACATTATTCTCAAGCATTAGAATTTAGTGTCGTTCAACCTATTGGGGTTAGGACTTATTTGGGACCAGTTATCCTTTCTTCTTTACTGTTTCTCCTTTATGAAATAGATATATCTATCCTATACGTATCTCACCATTATATTTTGGAAGGAGATAATTTGTTTTGATTTCATAGGCTCACACCTGGAGAGGAATTTGCCTTTGGATGAATCAAGCCTTAAGTTTCACTCACATCTACTTTAGATGAGACTCTGGATTTGGGACATTTGAGTTGATGCTCTCATGAGTTAAGACTTTTAAAGCGGAGCAAGATGGCCGAATAGGAACAGCTCCAGTCTCCAACTCCCAGCGCGAGCGACACAAAAGACTGGTGATTTCTGCATTTTCAACTGAGGTACTGGGTTCATCTCACTGGGGAGTGCCGGATGATCGGTGCGGTGCATGTAAAACCCTGGGAAAAACGAACAAATAGGTTGGCCTGATTTGAGCTTTCATAAAATTTTTGGCATTGACACAGCTGTGGGAAAATTTCCTTGCCTATGCACTGAGCCTAAAACATTTATCTTATTAAGAAAAGGGTAGAAGAAAATTGGAAACTTTTCTGCCAAGAGGTTCTAATGGGTTTTTATTTGTTAATGCAATTTTTGCTTTGCCACCATTGTAAAAGCAGAATTTTAGGACCAGGGTAATTGCGGTACATTTACTTAATTTACCATTAGTTACATTTTTGATGTGCAAGAGGAAACTGAGCAGTTCTTTAAAACCCATATGTATTTCTCTCAACTTATTAGGAATTAATGAGTTGGATACATTTCTTTCTTAAAAAATCTTCATTTGCCCACAATACATGCTTAATTTGGAAAATTGAGGGAAAGACAAAGAAGACAAAACGTTCGTTTCCTAAGCGTTCCTAGAGCGAGAACAATCCAACATTTTATTAATCTCCAATGAAGAAACGTTGCACACACACACCACACACACATAAAATCCCAAATAGATCATATTGTAGCTACTGTTCTATACATTACTTATTTGCTGTCTCCGAAAATCCTTTAGCATCAGCAATGCTATACATTTTATATATCTTGTATATGTATATACAGATACATTGTCATATATTTCATATGTATGCATATGTACAATGTACATGTGCCATATACTCTGTGTTTGAATTTATAAGTAAAATCCAGGGTCTACGCTAACATTTTCTGAGAAAATAATGCACCTTGCTGGGGGTTTGTTTTTTCTTTTTTGGCTCTTTTGTTTTGTTTTGCTTTGTTCCTTTGAGATAGTCTTGCTCTGTCCGCCCAGGCTTGAGTACAGTGGCACAATCAAAGCTCACATTAAGCCTCAGCCTCTTAGCTCAAGTGATCCTTCCACCTCAGCCTCCTGAGTAGCTGGAAGTACAACTGCGTGACACCACACCTGGGCTTTTTTTTTTTTTCTGTAGAGACTGGGTCTTACTATGTTGCCCCAGGGTGGTCTCAACTCCGGACTCAAGTGGATCTTCTCACCTTGGCCTGCCCAACTTGCTGAGATTAGGGGCATGAGTCACCACACCCAGCCTTGTGACCTTGCTGTTGAAGTAAAAATGTTTCAGTCTCATTTTGCAAGCTTCCCTATAGCGCACTATTGACCCTGAAGATGGACTCTGAGCAAAGTAGCATGTGTCAATCCTGAGCAAAGGCCAATGAAAAGACTATATATGATTCTTCAGTCTCTTCTCATGCCATAATAACTGAGGAGGCGCATGTTCACAGCTCAGCTATGAGCAGATGCAGCTTCTTCCATCCTAGGTACTTTATCTATGGATAACACCCATGTTTACTGCAGAGATGTATTCTGTGGGGGAAAAACTGACTTTGTTTTGCTAAGCTCCTGACAGTTCAAATATTGCTTAATACTGCAGGCACAACTAATATATCTTGGACAGATACAACAACCATCCTTAACCCATATCTTTTCTACATTTCAATTTTAATATACTCTTTGATGGACTGGATATTATCATCTTTTTTTTTCAAGAGAGCTCATGGTAATTTTATTCCTGACCTCAGCCATCCTTGGGAATATCTTTCTGTTGCCTTATAAATTTAACTGAGTACAAATTTCTGGGTCATGGTTTTTCTCATAATTTTTAACATTGATATCTGGTCTTCTGTTAGAAAGTATAGGCTGTGGAGAAGTCTGACAGCAACCTACATTTCTTCCATGTGTGCTATGGTTTGAATGTTTGTCCCCCTACAAAACTCATGTGAATGTAATTGCCATTGCAACAGTACTTAGAAGTGGTACCTTTAGGAGATGATTAGGCCATGAGGGCTCTGCCTGGATTATTCCATTATTGTGGAGTGGGTCCATTGTCATGAAACTGGGTTCACCCCTCTTGCTCTTCCTTGCTCTTCTGTCATGTGATGCCTTCCGGCATATGATGATGCAGCAAGAAGGCCCATGCAAGATGCAGCACCTGATCTTGGACTTCCCAGTCTCCCAAACTATAAGAAAATAAATGTGTTTTCCCTTATAAATTACCCCATTTAAGGTATTCTGTAATAGCAGTACTAAACAGATTAAGACAGAAATGAATGCTAGAGAAGTGGGATATGGCCATAACATATACATAAAAATATGGAAGCAGCTTTGGAACTGGGTAAGCATAGAGGCTAGAAGAATTTGGAGGAGCAAGACATTTGATATCTGTCTTCTGGTAGAAAGCGTGGCTGTGGAGAAGTCTGAGGGCAGCCTCAAAGCCTAGATTGCCATTAATGGAGCTTTAAGAGTGATTCTGGTCAGGGCTCAGGAGAAGGGAGAGAGATATAGGGAAAGTCTGAACTAGCCAAGTGACAGCTTGATAAACAGATTAGTATAGACAGAAGATAAGCCAGGTGCCATTCATAAAGACAAGAGGAGAAAGATCCCAAAGGCATTTCAGATATGTTTGAAGCTGCCTTCCCATCACAGGACCAGAATGCTGGGACACTGAGGGCAGAAAGGTTTCCAGAGGGGGCTAAGGGTGCCTGCGGGACCACAGCATTCTCCGCCCTGTGATGACCCAAGTCTCTATTCCTTGTGTTCTGAAACAGTAACCTTGGCCTTCCCAGCTGTGCTCAAGCAAGTCAAATGCAGTTCTGGCCTTTGTTCCAGGAGGTGCAAGCCATAAACCTTGGCAGTGTCCATGTGGCACTACTAAATCTGCAGGCACAGGGTGTGTGAAGCTCTGGTGGCATGGTTGCCTCCACCTAGATTTAAAAGCTGCAACAGAGACTTGCCAGTGGGGTGCAGCTGCTGCAGAGAGTATCCACTAGGGCCTAGTAGGGCTGTGGGAGTTGAGCCACTGCTGAGATCCTAGAACTGTAGCAACATCAGCATACAATGCCAGTCTGGGAGAGTTGCAGGCAGAGGAGACTCCAACCTGTGAGAGTTGCTGCCTGGGCTGAGCCCCAGAAAGTCACAGAGGTGGAGCTACCTGAGGACATAGGGGCCCAACCTTGCCCCAGTGTGCCCAGGCAGGACATAGATCACAGACATTATTCTCAAGCATTAGAATTTAGTGTCTTCAACCTATTGGGTTAGGACTTATTTGGGACCAGTTATCCTTTCTTCTTTACTGTTTCTCCTTTATGAAATAGATATATCTATCCTATACGTTATCTCACCATTATATTTTGGAAGGAGATAATTTGTTGATTTCATAGGCTCACACCTGGAGAGGAATTTGCCTTTGGATGAATCAAGCCTTACGTTTCATTCACATCTAATTTAGATGAGACTCTGGATTTGGGACATTTGAGTTGATGGCTCTCATGAGTTAAGACTTTTAGAGCTATTGAGATGGAATGGAATGTATTTTGTATGTGAAAAGGAGATGAGTTTTGGGAGGCTAAAGGGAGAATGAGGTACGATT